GGGGGGGAGAGTCGTAAACCAAGTAAAAGCGTTCTTTGTTAAAGAACTTGGGAAGTACTTGATCCTCAGATTTTCGTTATTCGAAATATCTCCTGCTTCGATCAAGTATCTCGCCACATGTTCGACAGTAGATTCTGTCGTGTCCCCAGAGAACTTAGTGAATTTGGGGACTTTACATCTAGGAGGTAAGTCTGTTTGTAATACGTATTCTGACAATGGGGATGTAAAGTTGGGCCTTCGAAAGCCCATGTTCATCCCATTCTGAGTCATGATCCTTTCGATCATGGTTGCCAGATTATTTTCCAAACCCGTGTTTTGGTATTGGATATGCTGAACTACTTCGTCAGCATTTTGGTTTCTGTTAACTAACCTTACCTCTGGGGTTATTACCCTAGGTTCCTCGACAGGTTGCTCCAAACGTGCCCTAAGGTTTTCTTCGACAGGCTGTTGAACCTGGTTGATGGTGGTTTCTTCCTCTAAGAATATCCCCTGGTTTCCCCTTATTTGCGCCCTTTGGGGCTATCGAATCGGTTGGGGTACTCCAAAGAAATCAGCCAAACGCGTCATTTGCGCTGTCATTTGCTGATTCGATTGAGTAGTGTTTTGTATTAGAGGGTTTAGCACTGTACTCAAAGTTTGTGCCAACATTTGCACCATATCATGGTTGCTTTCGTCCATTTGTTGCCTCAAGACTGCTGTCGAGGCATTTGTAAGGCCATGGGCTACTTGGGACGTTCCTCCTAAGAGTTGGGTCCTATTTATATTCGCCATACCTGCTCCAGAGCCTTGGAGTGGCGAAGAGGCACTCACTAAAGGGTCTGAAAAAGTGGACGCAGCATTCGTCAGGCTAGCCAAGTCAGAAGTTGGCATGCCATAGAGTGGCTCTCGATTATGACCGCCTGTCATAAATCCTGGGGGAACAAAAGGCCTTGTGCCTAAATTTCCCCTTGGTGGGGGAGTTCCCAAAGGCACTCTGGGGCCTGTGAACGGAGGTAATGGCCCCGTTGCTGTGACCGTTACTGCTGGTGTCGAACCAGCAGTTGTCGCTTCACTTACGGTCGAGATAACCGTTGCTCCCACATTCGTTTGTGGGATTTCGTTATTGTTTGGCGGATTCGCCATCTCTTCCCTTCTTCTGGCAGTATTGTTATCGTTAGTGTATATTCTACCACTTCTCAATAACATACAACGCTCCTTGAAAAGGATGAGATTATTTTCAGAAATCAACACACAGTCCCACCAGGTGTGCCAATTTGTTTACCGTGGTTATTGGTAAACAACCGCTGATCCTCCAAATGGTTACTTATTTGGTTACTAGCAGGATCGATCAGATTGATCCTAGGACATAGGTTGATTTTGAGGTTTTGATTAAATTGGATATTGATTAAGTGGCAATAAAATAAAGAGGCTTTAAGTAAATTGCATGAAGAAGTAGGCTTGGTAAAATAAATGAAGGCTTAAAGTAAAGGATCTCGACAGGAAAGTAAAGAAGAAAGCAAGTAAATTTCTGGAAAAGTAAATGACTTTGATTAATAAAGTTGGTGTTTCACACATACATTTCTCAACAATTCTTTCTCACACGCTGGGTACTCGAATCTATATGAGTGACTTTGTATATAATTGTGAACACACGCGAGAAACTGCGTGAACTACTACTATTTATACTAAAACATCCCAAGTAACCGTCGGGCAGTTACACTGCTTCGAGATGATTCCACTTGGCACGTTCTCAACGTTCGACGCTTCAGATCTTTGCACGTTGCACTTGGTAACCGCTGGAAACCGTTTTCCCTCCAAACGCTTGAATTTCAAACCGTTCCACTCTGAACCATCGAACACCCTCGTCGAGAAGCATCTTCGACGAGAAACACCTTCGACATCGAAGGCAACCAACCTCTCTCTTGGAAGAAATCTTCTAAGTACATTGCCATCTTTCAATGGGTGTTTCGACGGACTTAGCTGGTCGAAAACAACCTTCCGCTTTAATGGCTGGCATTAATGAAACAAGGGTGTCGAATTTAAGAGCCAACAGTATCTTAGCAAAAACAAGAAAAATACAAGATCATAGTCCCTCGATGACGCTATCTAAGTTACCTTTTCAAAATGATATTAGTCCCTAAAGAAAAATGCTAAGGTACCTTGCAACATTGCTAATCATGGTTATACGAGGACCCACGCCCGTCCCGTTTACATTCAAAGATAGGGTTACTTACCAAATCAATGGTAAGATAACAATGTCAAAGGAAAAGAAAATAAACAAGAAAGACTTTTGAGTAGGTAGAATACTCCTAATTACTTGCTCACTTTCAAAACAAAAAACATCCTTGCTATTTTCAAAATAAACACATATGCTTTCAAAACTTCTTATATGCTTAAAAATATTTTCAAAAGATCAACATCTTTGTATACATTCTTACGAACAAGAATCATTATAAAGTTTGCCTAAACAATGACCTCTTTAGAAAATACTTTCAAAAACCACACAAAGCACAATTTCAAACAAAAAGCAAGTGATCTAGCAAGTAACTAAGAGCCCATGGAAAACCATGGATGAAAAGGGTGCTAATACTTTTCCTTTTCATAATCTACCCCCCGAACTCAAGAAACAATATCAAAGGTCTTTCCTGTGCTTTTTCACCTTTCCTTTTGGATAAAAGAAAAGTCGGTGGCGAATCTTGCTAACCGCAACATTTGCGATCAAACGCAAAACACCCAAGTCAGTTCTCCCAGCGTATCACAACTCTCTTGTTTCCTAAATTGATTATAGTGGGGTTTTTCTTTGGTCTGGACGACTCGTAGTTTTTACTCTCATATTGAGGGGTTTTCCACGTTAACAATATCAGTGTTCTTTTGTGCCTTTATTTGTTCGATTTGCCGTCTTATTTTTGTTGTTGATCCTTAACCTCTTATATATAGACATTGATTTATCAGATTAGGAGGTGTGGTTGAAAAAGGTTTTCACTAATTTTTAGAATGATTTCAAGAGCACTGAAGAAATGGATCTTGAATTCGTTAACCATTCAAAGAAGAAAAATGTTAATCCTCCAATTGGAAATTTCATTGAACAAATAAGAGGTTGAGTTAGTTGAATAGACGACTACATCATGCCTTTACAATTGAATTGGTGACTATGTACAAGCAGTAGGAAAATACACTAACTCATCTGCCGCCTATGTGTTGGATACTTTTTTTAGTCTAAATCGAGGTGTGTCTTCTACCATTTATTTTACACTCTTCTCATTTTCTTCACTTGTTCTAACATGAGCATGTTTGTTTTTCTCGAGCCAAGCTTCAGATGAAGATGCATTTTTGGAACATCCAGAGTTTCAAACAACTTGAGAGAAACTTGATTCTTTGGTTAGACGAAGAGATTAATGATGGTAAAATAATAAGAAGTATCGAGAGACTTATTTCGTACATCTCTATTGCAGATGAAAATAATGATATCTAGCGTATGTGAGTGCCAATTAAATTTCTGGTGCATACATCATATCCCTACCCCATCCACCTTGCGAAGATAATATTAAGAAGTTTTCGTCATTTCTAGATGAGTATATATATATATATATATATATATATATATATATATATATATATATATATATATATATATATATATATATATATATATATATATATATATATATATATATATATATATATATATATATATATATATATATATATATACGCATTGATTTATCTGGTGAGGAGGTGCGGTTGAAGAAGACCCTCGCGAAATTTTAGAATAATTTTAGAAGTTTTCAAGAAAAATGTTAATCTTAAATCCATCATTCTGTATTTGAACAAAAATGAATGAAAAGTTGAAGATGACCATTGTGGTAAGGCTTTCGATACATTAAACAAAAATGAATGAAAAGTTGAAGATGACTATTGTGGTAAGGCTTTTGATACATTAATTGAGGTCTTAAGTGATCTAAGATAGAGAGAAAATATCGGAGAAAGGGTGCTTAATTTAAAAGTTAACACTCTAACATTCAAATTAATGAGAGATAAAACAATTACAAGTGTAAGCCGGTGAATACATTAACGTGACTAATAATTACTCTTATGTAATATGATCAGTGATAAATATAATCGTTCAATTAACTAGACTTAAATTATAAAGGATTATTGAATGCATGTCAATAGTTGAAATAAAAATTGAGAAGGATACTCTTATTCAATGCATCCTTCAATCACTATTATAAAAAATATTTCATTTTCAAATTTATTAAATAATTTATATATCTAATCTAGATATAGATCAAAACATTTACATATATATTTACAAATATATTATAATTTATATTTATAAACCCTCAAATTTAAATAATATTACACTGTTGAATAACATTTAAATAATATTACACGGTTAAATTTCTATCACATAGGTAGATTATTTTGTAAAATTATTCTAAATCTAAATTATTTATTAGGTTAGTGAGACTCGGTAAAATTAGATTTTATACAATTTTATATTATCTTACCGCTTTTTATAAATTTTGTTATTTTACAAATTTATACAATTTATTCACACTTAAAGTTTTTTTTTTTCATTCAAATGGTTTTATTATCTACTATTTCACCCTTTGGACTCAATAAAAAAAAAGTAGTTCAACCCATGCTTATAAAACTTGCGATTACGTAATCCAAAAAAAATAAAAACTTCAATTATGCAACGAAAAATAGCCTTAAAAAAGTCATCTGAATGCTGAGATATTTTGTTTATTTATTAATAAAAATCTGTTTTATTTCCAAATAAAAAATTTACTGATCGACGGTCCACATGACTCCAATTTAGATCTAACGGCAGATAAGACCCAGGAACGGACGGAGGTTAACCATACTTGAAACTATCTCCACTATATAACCGCAATAGGTGTAACCATTTCCCTTCGTGCTCTCACTCACTTCTAGGTGGATTCTCAATCCTCCTTTTCTTTATTTCCCATTTTAACCTTGTTCCTAGGGTTTCGTTTTGTTCTTGATCCATTTCCATGGCGGAATCTGAGTACCGGTGCTTTGTTGGTGGACTTGCCTGGGCCACCGATAACGACGCTCTCGGCAAAGCGTTTTCCACCTTTGGCGAAATCGTCGAATCGAAGGTCCGTTTGTTGATGGATCGGATCTGACACCGACTGGATTTGGAATTTCTCGATCCCGTTTGATCTGATCTGTTCCGTTCTGTTACTGTTACTGTTCCTCTCTGATCTGTTTTCCGTTACTTCATCTATGATTGATACTTGTTACTATAATGATTCTTTTGTTATTCTAATCGGTACGTTCATCTTCATCTTTGATCCAAAGGCGAAGATCGATCGGTTACTATCGTGTTGTTTTTTGTTTTCTCCTCAATTTTATTTGAAATTGAGCCAGATCTGATGCTTCTTGTTGTTGTTCAGGTTATCCATGATCGTGAAACCGGAAGATCGAGAGGATTTGGATTTGTTACGTTTGCATCGGAGCAATCGATGAAAGAGGCAATTGAAGGGATGAACGGTCAGGATCTGGATGGACGTAACATCACTGTGAACGAGGCGCAAAGTCGCGGCAGTGGAGGTGGTGGTGGTGGAGGTGGATACCGTGGAGGTGGTGGAGGATATGGAGGTGGAGGCGGTTATGGAGGTGGAGGCGGTGGAGGTTATAGCCGTGGTGGAGGAGGTGGTGGTTACGGAAGTGGTGGTGGTGGACGTCGTGATGGAGGTGGTGGTGGTGGATATGGTGGAGGTGGTGGTGGTTACGGAGGTGGTGGAGGTGGTTACGGAGGTGGTGGTGGTGGACGGGACCGTGGTTATGGAGACGGTGGATCTCGGTACTCGAGAGGAGGTGGTGGAGGTGGTTCCGAAGGAGACTGGAGGAGTTAATTTAGGTTTTTAGTGATTTAAAGATCTGTTCTATCTGTTATGTGTTATTGGTTATTGTAAGCGTTTTGATTTGGAATGTCCTTTGTGATTTTGAGTAACTCTTGTGGATTTATGTTTTTGACCTTTGAATTTGTGTACTATGTTCATGAAAGAATAGTTGTCAGAAATATTTCACTAAAAAATATTTCTTTCGTTTTCGTATTAAATGTTTTTTTAAAATTTTCACATTTTGTAAAATAATAATTAATTATATAATTTTAATAATAAAATAAATCACATTTATTAAAATAATTTTATTAATAATAGATAGTATAATAGATATATGAATTAAAATAAAATAAATAAATATTAATAAAAATAAATAAATATTATGTTGATATTTTGAAGAGATAAATAATTTAAGATCACTTTCTTATTTTTGTTTAATGTGACTGCCTAACATTGTGTTTATTGTTTTATTTTTAAATATTAAACATTGGAATGAATAATTACAAAATATGAATGACGCAGGTTGAAAAAGGTATAGTACAATCTTTAGACGTGAAATTTGTGGAGGTTCTAAGGTCAATAAACAAATGGCTAGACTTGCCGGAACAGATTCAAAGGTCAATGAAATTGATGATTTTTGTGTCAGCAATTTCAATCGATAATTTTGTGTACCCACAGTTTATTAAAAAAAATAACAATTATCATATTTTTATGTTTTTTTTTCTTTCCAAAATTTGAAAATTAAGTAGTTTAAATACTTAATTTAATTCTTTTTAAATTTCCGTGACAACGAATCAATGTGTATTTCATCATGTCATACTTAAATTTTAAAAACACATTCTATCGGTGCATATTCTACACTCTTTTTTTTTTTTATAATAATTTTCATCTCCTAATTGCTTTGTAGTAGTATGAAACGGCAAGCCACAATAATAATTTAATGAATTCATCATTAATATTTATTTTAATCAAAGCAATATATTAATTTAAAAAACTACTCAAATACAAGGGGATTAAAGAGATCCAATTCACTCAAAACACAAATAAAACACGAAAATTTATATACATTGTTTCCTAAACTTCTTAGATCCCATCTTCTATATAATATACTTTATATAATTCTATCATAACTATCTGTATATGATTATTTTTTTATTATTCCTTCAAAAAATTATTTCATTTCTATAATGTCAAACTTCATATCAAACTTCATATATGGTTTGAGTGATGACAAGCTTCAATAGGTAACCTTTTCAACCTTTCTTAGCTATATTCTTCCAACCTTTCCTAGCTATATTTTCTAAGGTCCATCTAAGCTCATATGGACATTGTTGTGGATCATATTTGTCGGGGATTTTCATCGAAGCGCGAACGAAGGCGAAAGAATAGAAGAGTCACCATCAATATTATTTATCTCAAGAGAGGAAAAGGAAACACTGAGTAAATATGAGGTAAGGAAATGAGCATATGGTCATCCCGATCAAGAGAAAAGGGTAAGGAAATCGGTTACGCGAGGGAAAGATATTAACACCCCCACGTCTGTGGTACTCCACAGGATCCACTTAAGTTTGTTCTAATTTAAGGGTGTGTAAAAATCTAAAGCTTACGAGCTAAAAAAAATGCAAAAAGGGAATGCATGCAAAAGAAAACACGGGAAAAAGAAGGAAATAATTACAAAGTTTCGTTCGGCTTAGCCCCGTGACCAGATGCCTACGTATCCCTTTTAAGGAATCAGAGCGTCGTAGTTCGGCTCAATGGTTTCTTCTTGTTGTCTATTTTTTTTATAGACGATGCTAGTGAAGCATGTCTTTTTTGAAAATGTTTTAAAAGAAAAAGTTCGAAGACAAAAAGGTTTGCATTGGTTGATATTTTTTACCTTGAAAAATGACTTGAGATTTGAATCACACCAAAGACTAAGAACGAAAGAACGATAAGATCGAGAAGAAACCCGCTTATCATTCCCCATACTTAGTAAAAAGTGTGATTCTCATCATTTATTATTAAGTGTTTTGAGAGTTTGAAAGAAAAAGAGGTTTCAGTCTTAATGAGATGCAAAAGAGGAAAGAAAAAGTCTAAGGGAGACTAGCAAAATAGTCTTAAAGTTATCATGTAATGTTGATCCTAGAGTTGGGATAGAAGGGAAACATCTACCTAATGTTGTCATACATGAATATCAAACCTAAGGTCTATTTAGTTCAAACTTAGAGAATAGTAAAGTAAAGATCGTATGGGGAACATGGCATTCTCACAAAAGAGAAGATGAGAAAGAAGAAACAAGCAATCACACTTAGATAAGAGAGAAAACAAGTATCACATAAATACACATACAATTAGGATAGATCCCTAAGCACATAAGAAAGAAAAGATGATAAAACATCAAGTAATAAGTATAGGAGAGATGATAAAAAATCAAGATAAAGAAGGGATGACAAAACATCAAGTATGAGTGACAAAATATCATATAAGGGAGGGATGATAGAACATCAAGCATACATGCATTACGATGACAAAACATCAAGTATGGATGACATAACTTCATGTAAGGGATGACAAAACATCATGTATGAGATGACAAAACATCATGTAAGAGATGAAAAACATCAAATAAGTAAGATGGTAACACATCAACAAACACACAAGATATGGTGATAAAACACATAAGAGATAAAGATCTCACAAACAAACTTGAAAAAGTGAAGAAGAAACATGAAGGAAAAAATGAGAAATCAAAAGGAATGACATAAAATCACATAAATATATCCTCTATATTCTGACCTTATCATGTTAAGCACCTTAGACTATCCTAAGCATGACAAAAAAGGTCAAGAAGAATGAAACATTACCTAACTAGACAAGTAGAAGTGCATGTGTGTATTTGGAAGACAAAACTTGAATACATGACAAAACATGTAAGCAAGGATGAGACAAAAGGTAGATAAATAAGTCTAAACATGGCTTAAGATATCACAAACTATCATTAAAGAATTACATGTTAACATACATAAGTTCATATGATGAAAAGAGATGAAACTCAAACAAGTAACAAGACAAGACTTATGTTACAAGTAAGTGATAGATCATGGATAGGAAGCACTATGGCATCAAGAATGCATGAGATATGTAGATTCATTCTTAAGGGTCATGCATAATAGGCAAAGATCTAAAGGTCACAAGACAAAATATCAAGGCAAGTACACTAGCATAAGAGTATTTATGTGTCAAGTGCTTAACCAAGCATGATGTAAGAAAGTGAAGTGAGGTGAAAGAGATGAAGTAGTGTATAAGTCAAAAGCAAACATATCAAGGAATCATCATCATCACATAAACAAACTTGATAAAGATTCACAATCAAATCACACAAGGAAAGTTGGTTTAAGAACCCTAAGTGGACTTATGTCCTCTTGCAATGCTAACAAGAAATCATGTAAGATGAAAGTGGTAATGTGAATAAGAGAAAGAAAATATTGACATGTTATACACTAAATACATACCAAATAATCAAGATAAAACTAAATTAGTCATTGAAAACATGGTTCAAACACCAATGTACACAAACTAGGTCAAAACAAAGTTGTGAAGTAAAGTGAAAGCAAGTATATGATCAAGTGAACATGGTAAGACATGTCAAGTAAGAATAAATTCAGAAGCATACACTAAAGGATAACATACATTAAAGACCTTCTAATACCCCTAAGGTATCACTAATTTGGTCAGGATTTTGACCTAACTTCATGACACTTTTTCACATAGTTCCAAGGGGAATCTTCAAAAGCAATTCAAATATGGGTTGTAGATAACATTTCAAGCTTTACAAAATATCTAAGAACTCCTTGAGATCATTCTTGAGGAGGGAGAATCGAAGAGATGAAATTAGGGTTTTGTCACTTGAATTACAAGTCATTTTTTATGAACACTTGAACCAAATCCATGCTAGGCTGCATAATCCTTGCTTTGCAGGCCTCAAACTTTTTTGTCACTCCATAATTAAATGTTTACACAGTTGTTAGAGCTTTGATCCAAGCAATTGATCTATTGTCCAAGTTGCATTTCCATTTATGGCACAAAGTTAACAATGCCATTCTTGTAAAGCAAGCTTTTTGCATAAAGTTCACATTGAGCCTCTAACTAGTTCCCTCTGATGACACTCCATCCACAAAGTCAGAAGCAAGCTTGTTTAAAGCATAACCACTCTATCTTAGCAAGTACACAAGGCATGGAAACTTATTTTGTCAAAAAATCACATATTTAACTTAAACATGTAAATTTGAATTATGATCAACTAGAGCACTCTAAACTTGTTGCTTATAAATAGAGTCACTATTTGTGAGCTAGAACACGAGCTTGAACAGCCTGAAATACAGTAAAACTCTCTCAAATCAAAAATTGCACAAAAACTCCATTATTGCACAGTTTCTGACCTTGAACATCAAACTCCCATTTCCCTCGTGCGTTTCTTGGCCTTTTAGTTTCTAAAGCTTCCTTACATCAAATACAACTCATCCCCATCCTTATTCCAGAACTGTAACACCATTTACCATAACTTCCATAACCAAAAAACAGAGTCTGCAACTTGACTTCTCCAAGCCATTTCAACCATCCATTGTTCAAGCTAACCATTGCATTAGCTTCCTAGGACCTCAAGGAAGCTAACCTGATCATCACCATCATTTGAAACAAGCTCAAACTCAAAACACGATTTCCATTTTTGAGGTAAGTTTTCTCAACTTGGAACTCTTCATACAGGCATCATCAATAGTTTATTTGTGAATAAAACATGTAGATATTTTTGCCCTGAAGCTAACCATGTCCATAGTTTTCATTAATTTTGCTTGAGCTTAGAGAATTTTGAAACTGAAATTTCTGAAATTTTTAGGGTTCAGATTAGGACCATTAAAATTCTTGCTTATCTTTGATCTATAGTTTTAATACTTTACATTTCTGGAATCGTGAGAAAATTTGCTACAAGTTTCATGTTTACAGTTTTCATTTTTAATGAGAAATGAGCAAGTTAC